GATGGCACTGATAATTCGGGGGGCCATAATAGGACCTATCTCGATAAGAGGCTATAAACCAAGGTTTTTAAAAAACGGGCGTTTAGAGTCGATGAATAGGATCAACGAGCCATGGAGGGAACAAAACAAGGATAGGAAAGCACATATCATGTTGGTTCAGGAACGTCTAAAATGTACCTTTGAGCGCATTAACGTATTCGTCATCGAAATGGCCACACTGAAGAGACGGTGTATAACTCTTTGAACGACCTGTGAGGCGGCTCGATTAAAGGAGAGATACATGGAGCGTTAACAAGAGTGTAATTTATGGAAATAAAAAGAAGAGAAAAAGAAAACGTGGAAGCTATGTGGCCTATTTGCTCCATATGAAACCGGCAATGTACCTGTTCAGGCAAGCCGGTGTTGATCTAATAGCCTTTTTCGCCTATGACGGGACTCAGAAGGATCTAAGACCGGCGAAGCATGGAAAACACGGGCACCTAAGAGAAGAGAACCAGAACACATATAGCACTATGATCAGATAACAGGATCGAGAATAAGGAACGAGCACAGCAAGAACGACATAGAGAAACAGTATACAATTTCTTGCGCGGCCGGTCACAGAACGGGCAGGGCCTGAGGATGCTGAGGAGGCTAAACAGAATTGGCGCACAGAAGGATGAAGTTCATCAATAAGGCAAGCACCCCAAGCATGATGACATAATCAAAGGAAAATTTTAGTAAACGAGCAACCCATACACTATCAGAGGAAGCTAATATTTTGATACAGAAGTTTGAAGGAGAAAATTTACACACATGATTGTTTGTTGTCAGCAGAGAGTTGCGGCCCAGTGGACATGGATGTATAGGAGCTCAGAGTATACCAACTAGGAAGGAGAAAAAGGCATGTGCTGACAGAGTACGTAAGAGAATCAAAATGGTAAAGAACACAAATAGTCCATAAATAAAGGTAACGTCATACGAAGCTACGGGAAAAACTTGTATACAAGCGGCAAAAAAGTCAGGACGCCTAAAAAAGAAGGCAACGACAACAGGTACAAACAAAGCTAAGGAAAATAATACGCTGAAGCAATGTCCGAGGACAGATGAAAAGCATGGAACAGCAAAGGATACATATATCTTATTATGACTGAAAGAGAAGGTACAGTTATTGAACTAACTGTCCACAGGAACCAATTCCACGTATAACAACTCACAGATGCAGGACTATGCAATGACGCCAACAACATCGAAAAATACCGAGAATTGACAACGCTAGATCCATGTCTATGTGACACAAGCATATTAGGCGACCTAACACTTCACCTCTAAGACACATATCATGCTTTGAGTGATGTAGCCTAGGAAACCAATCGCGCAAAACTCAGTAATCTAGAATAACAAATCCATCTATGGATTGTAGACAAGACTACAGTATGCCAAGCGGGATGATCATAGGCAGCAATGGCTCCAAATTCTTGAAATACCGGAAGAAAAAAACCGTCTTGGAACACTGCCTCCAGCATGCTATGTATATGTAAAAACAAGGAGGATGAAAAAAAGAAAGGAAAGAGTAAGCTGTCAGCCACAATGCCACATAAAATATGTGTAACTATACGTAACCATATATTTGTATGTATGCACACAACTATATATATCGGTAATGATGTAGAAATCCACAAGCACAGAGGAAAAGCGTACATATATAGGAGAGCTGTCGCCAAACAGTGAATAGCAAAAAAAAAGAACCATGCAGGATGGGTACGAAACCAAAATAACATACTCGGAACTGGTGTGGACATACCAGGTAGAGCAGACACGTAGAAGTAGAATGTAGCAAACACGTTAACAGATGCAAGAGGGCAGAATCACTGGCATAGGGTGAGGAAAACAAGATCAGGTACCGAAGAAAACCACATGTACGTGCAGGCAATACGTGAATAGAAGAAAGAACAACCTGTAAATCCTATGGATTTCTGGTACTGCACCTAAGAACAACAAGAGGTGACCGGATCAATCGCACTGGGACAACCTGACACAAAGGAAATAATGTACAAAGGCTGTAAAGACAATAACCAACAATCATGTACCTAATACAACGATACGCATCAGGTGTGAGCATTGGAGAAACAAAAATAACAAACAATGATGTCAAAGTAGAGCGCAACAACGATAAGGCATAGGCAACGAGCTCCATTAGACACACAACACAGACACATATAGAAACACAGCACAAGAAGAAGAAATAATGCACATAACAGAAAGCATGAGGTCACCTTGGATATTTGGTAAGGCTAGAGCAGCACAAGGACGAAGGAGTATGATGGAAGCCGCACAATGCACCTGTAACACATGAACCAATATGAAGAGACCTGAAAATCAAAGGATACCACAGAAAAAACAGCACACATGTACGTGGACACCTGTGCGGACAACATACAAGCAAAATAACGGACACAACCAGTTGACACATACCCTAAGCTCATAGAAAATAACCGGCTAAGCAGGCAACGAGCTCCATTAGACACACAACACGTAAACATATAGAAACACAAAGAGAAGAAGAAGAAATAATGCATGTAATGCAAAAGCATGAGGTCACCTTGGATATTTGGTAAGGCTAGAGCAGCACAAGGACGAAGGAGTACGATGAAAGCCGCACAATGCACCTGTAACACATGAACCAATATGAAGAGAGCTGAAAATCAAAGGATACCACAGGAAAAAGCAACACACATGTATGTGGACACCTGTGCGGACAACATACAAGCAAAATAACGGACACAACCAGTTGACACATACCCTAAGCTCATAGAAAATAACCGGCCAAGCAGGTAACACTATGACCAGGATCAGGAAAGCATGTAAGCAAAATCTAAGCATTCTGACGGCCTCCGTACACTGGAATGAAGGATGCTGAACCTCTAAATTTTTCGTAAGAACCACACAAATGCGAGGACATTGTTCGTAAGAAGCACACAAATGTAAGGACACAGCAAACATGGCATTTGAACCCACAAACAAAGCAGACTAAATTAGCGGCAGTAAGAGGAAGCTAAGGTCCGTCCATAGCGCATCTGCAACAAGCACCTACATAGTAGATCTGGAGCGGCGACGCAACGGCAGGCAAGTAACTTGGAAACAAAGTCAAGTATCAGTACACACAGCAGAGGGGAAATCAGGTCCGAGAACAGAAGTAAGCGAAACAGGAACCAAGAAATCGACCACAGAGAAGGGGAAAAGCCCTGTGGAGAGCACATCGGCATGAATTGCAGGTCCCCAACCATACCAAAAGAGCACATGAGGAGAAGAAAACAAACGTTGCGGGAAGCAGGGTAAAGGAAGCAGGAGCAACCAGGGCCATGGCGCAGGCATCAGGAACAGGGCAAAGGGTGGTGAACTGGTGGGCGTCAACCGCAGGCGCAAGGAATACGCGGACACCATAGGCACGAAACACGGTCACGAAGCACGGCCGGCCGATTGGGCCAAGACGGCCAGGGCGGAGGCGGCAAGAACAGGGCCGGGGTACGCACTGTAGCATGGAAACCCTAGCCATAAACACTAGATGACGATGGCGTCCAAGAACAAGGGCAACGAAGCATAGAGGGCGTAAGGTGGGCATAGGAGCACCGGGCAGGACAAACAACGGGCCAGAAAAGCGCAAAGGCAAGGAAGAGAGAAGGGCAGGAGGAGGCAGAACAAACGGGGACGACAGAAACCAAATCGGCACTCAAAATGAAGGAGGAGAAAAGGCGAGGGAGCAAATCCAGTCAATCGGAGGAGCACGATACGGGACCCACGGACGCGTCAACGATGGCGACAGCGGAGAGCACGGAGCGGGCGAGGACGACACAGACGCGGAAAGGGAACAAGCCGGCGGGCGAGCGGGACGGGAAGTAGGAACAACGAAGGCAGGCGAACGGGAGCGGCCGCGGGCGCACAGTGCCTGGGACGGGGCTCAGCCGTGGAAACGAAGATCCAACGGACCAAACTAAGTTTGCTATCGTGGATGGCCTGAACGCTGGCGAAAGTCCCCTGCTTTGATAAGAAGAGATGCAAAATGTTCGGGGCTCTGCACCGGAGCATCTTCAAGAGTTCTCTAAATCTCTTTCTAATTTTTAGCAAGATGAGAAAAACTCCCTCTCTAACAACTTCTAATCCATCCTCCTAATCTTTTAGAACTTGGGAAAAATCATCATATTCCGCGTAAAGTTACATGTTTTCTAGTTGCGCGTATCTTCTCTCCCCGCACGTGTTTGTCGGTCAATCTAAAGGTGGAATGGCGTGGAAAGAATAAAGAGTAGAAAAATGGTTTCTGATGCAAACGTACAGGAAGAAAAAAATATATAAAAGTGGTTAGGATAATTTAGAAATAATATATGATTTTTATGTAAAATTGTCTTCTATATTTTAGAAGTTGATTATTAGAAACTTTCGGAGATGGCATCTTTTATTTCTTCTAATACTTTTTAGGAGTTGTAAAACTTTATGTTTTTGGAAAGAATATATTAGGTACTCTTGGATATGCTTACGGAGCCGTCTCTCAAAGATGGAATGGAACAATTACCAAAGCTACCAAGATTGGCATGGATTTGTTTTTTTTAAAGATAAATAGAAACATCCGACTTCCTTAAAAAGAAGAGGAATCATATCACATTTTACAACTTAACACCATGAAAAAATAAAACTAAGTTTACAAACAGATGACTCAACCCAATTCTAGCATTAAAGGGTACTTCAGAGGACGCAAAGAGCTTCGCAGCAGTCTAGCTTGTGACTAATCTCAATCACAAGCACCTATGGTTCCTCACACGGTTAGATATAGATTCAAACAGATCTACTAATCAAAGAACACGAAAGTATAAACATTAAAAAAAACACAAGTCAGCCAAATACACGATATTTTTTTAACGAGGTTCAGTGACGTACCTATATCCTCAGTGTAAGACATCAGACGTAACGGAAGAGTAATGCTAGGGAAACTACAAGAGATTCGTTTAAGCGTTCCGTGTACGAAAATGCTATGTGTAGGACGTCCCCTTCTTGGGCCTGCATACCAACCCAATAGCCCTCTGCTTAGTGCCCGCTCGTTTTATTTTTACTTTAGAAAGAGACGAGAGACCTGCTCCGCTCTGCTCCGCGCGACGACGGTCACCCTGTCTGCTCCTGCTCTGTCGCCCCGCTGCTCCTGCTCTGTAGTCCGCTCCGCAGTCGACGGTCACCCCGCGCTGCTCCTTCTCTTGCTCCACCGCGCCGCCCCACTGCTTCTGCTCTGTGGCCCGCTTCGCCTGAAAGCGCGGGCACCGTCGTGCCCACACACGGCGACAGCTCCCTCAGCTGCCAGCTAGCCAATGAGGCCGCCGCGCAAGGAGAAGCGTAGGGCCCTAGTGTGGAAGCCCTCCGGTCTCGCCTCTTGCTATGGCTGCGGCGCCCCGATGCAAACGACGAAGGAGGCTGTACCGAGATACGATGCATGTTGCAAGCGTACATTTCAAATGTTTCAGATGTTTTGGATGTATGTTGCAAGTGTTTCATAAGGATGTTGCAAAACTAGATTGGGATGTTGCATATGTTGCAATGGGCTATACACGTATGTGTTCAAGTGTATGCTCCAAAGGTTTTATCTGTTTCAAACATATGTTGCAAGCGTTTTATTTGGATGTTGTAAAACTAGATTGGGATGTTGCATATATATATATGCAAGTGTTTCAGGTGTTTTCACACATATGTTGCAAGTGTTTTATCTTGATGTCTGCATATGTTTGCAATGGCTATACATGTGTTTTCAAGTTTTTTCTGGTGTTTTGCAAGTGTTTTAGACGTATGTTGTAAGTGTTTCAACTGTTTCGGACGTATGTTGCAAGTGTTTCATCTAGATGTTGCAAAAGTAGATCGGGGTGTTGCACATGTTGCAATACGCGTGAGAAATAAAGGTGGCGCGAGCGGTCCCTGCGTACGGTCTGGGGCGCGGGTGTCGTCCGGGCGGCACGGGCCCCGCGTGGGCGCGCGAAATGCCGGCTCGGGCAGGGGCGTGCTGGTCCGAGCATGGAAAACGGAGTGGGGCGTCCAGATACGGGCGTCTGTCTGAACGTCCAGGCGCTAGCACTACTAGTCCGTGTATTACGAATTTGCGTTTTTGTGGGAGAATTCGCCTCCAAGCTCCAACAGGTTCGGCAACACCATATCCAAAAAACCGAGTCCGCTACTCCATCTTCGTCCTCCCTCGGCAAAGGGGATCGGGGATCACCCTGGCGCCCCAGCGTTCACCGTGCGTAGGCCTCGCCCTTCCCCCAAGTGCACACCTGCTGCGGCTCCATCACCCACCGGTGCATTGCATATCATCCAAGAGCAACCCTTGGTTTTGGTTCTCTAGTGACAAGTCATGGTGCACTTCGTACACTATCACCTGCTCATTGTTCTAACCACCGCTGACGTTGAGCCAGGTGCTTGCAGCACTCCGTTGCCAGCTAGCTTCTCGTCGCTGAACCCCATATAAATCTCCATCTTCTCATCGGCCAGGCAACATTGAACCTGATATAATAAACATCATTCTGCTTGATTGCTTGAATTATCATAGTAGTAAAATGTCAAAGTGTTCACTGGCCGCTCCAAGTCCCCTCCAACTCCAAGAACTCCACCGGAAACAATCTGGTTTAGGCTCCGTTCGGCAGCAAAGGAACGAATCCAGGAGCTGAATCAATCTAGGCCAGGAATGAGTTGATCCCCTTGCTGTCACTCATTCCCTGGGCGGGTTTAATTCCCTAGCAGAACCAATCCCCTTGCTCCTATTTGTTGTTCGGTTAGCCAGGGATGAATCCAGGGCTGAGAATCTGATAACATGTATACATATCCAGACGTTTAACTGACAAAAGTGCATCAGAGGCAACTACAAGTCTGCAACCAGCGTAAATTCAAGTGATAAGGAATACAAAAGTGCATCAGCAGCAACATACTCTTACAACAGTTACAATCGATAGTTCCCTTGAAGAATTTATACGATCCATATCACTGATCATCTAACAAACAAAAGTCAATGTATTGAAACTTTGAAAGGGGTCTTCTACTTGCTATATCTTGTAGTAATATCTTGTTTCCACAAGATCACATCTGGCATAAATCTTAGATTAAATCTCTGAATGTTTAAAATGCAAGGGTTCTACACAGCAACTTGATAGAAACAGAAAAGTTATGGGCACCTTGTACTACCTCAGCATCCTTAGGTTCTCCAAAACCTGAAACGGAAACGTTGGGCATTATGATACAGCAATCGTCAACCAATAGAAAGAGGTGGGAGGGGGTGCAAACAAACTATTAGTTTGGTAAAAATAAGAAATATGTACAGATGGCAAAAATACATATAATTCTCCATCTTAATGAAAAACGTGCTACGGCACGGTCGTGAAAAAAATATAATGCATTTCTGAAATAGGACAGCTTGGAATTTGATTCTGAAATGCATTTCCTACTGGGACAGTTAGAATGACATGCAGCTATCAATGCCAACTTACATGTGTTGGCTCTTCATTTTCCAAATGCAAACAGAACAAAACTGAAGATATTCTATGTGCACCTAGAAAAAGTGCAATTGTTTATGTCACACATCACGCCGAGTAATTTTTTCAAACTATGAACAGAACATTCCTTGCATTTCTATTAAAGGGCGTACCCAGTACAGAGAGCTCCCGCTCTGTGCGGGGTCTGGGGAAGGGTGTTAGTGGCAAGCCTTACCCTCGCCTGTGCAATGCGAGGAGACCGCGACTCGAACCTAGGACCTTCCGGTCACAGGCGGTAAGACTCTACCGCTTGCACCAGGCCTGCCCTTCATTCCTTGCATTTCTATTGATCTAAAGAATTGATCTAAAGAACTTCCCTAGATAGGAGGCAAAAAATTAAAGACAAACGCGTATCTGTTGCTGGCTATCATGTGCAGTTTGAGAATAAATATGCGAGTTCGACTATCATGTGCAGATTGAGACAATAGCTGCATCACAGCATTGTATCCATTCTACCAAGCTATTAAAAAGACAAATTTATGCAGAACCCCTTCAGCCCCACGCAATATACACACACGCACGCACACACAACCAAGTGAGATCAGTCTTTTGTTTAAGTCTACACTTCATCAAGGGACTGAATGAACAGTACTGCGCCTATCTACTAAAAAAATAGCCAAGTAGGCCTTGCCTACTATACAGATGAGTTGTGCTCTTCTAAATAGTACAGTTCTTGTTGACAAGTGATCAATGATTTACAATGAGTTGAGTATCCAAATATGCTTCAAACTGTTGTTTGACTTTAATAATTATAAATAGTACAGTCATATATTAATAATAATTTAAACTAAACAATTAGAGCTGGACTGAAACTCTGAACCCTGAACCTGAAACTCTGAAAGACAGTTTTGACATCAATCTTGGGAGCTTAAGTTAGAACAGTTTCGTTTATGAACATGGATGCCAGTTTACAGCAAGGTTAAGGTACTAAGTTTACTCATCTAAATGACGTAAATCTTACTGATATAAGTCCATTAATTAGTCACTAAGGTACTAAGGCTGAGGCTTGCTGTGTTAATTGGACGGCTGACAAGAAATTGGCTAACAGTAGTAGAAACATGGCCCCGACTATAAAAGGACAGCAGAATTGGCTGATGATCTAACCATTCCTCATCTCCATGAAGTAATCGGATCAGATTATGGAAGATGGCAGCAGCTATAGGTATCTTTACTTGATTTTCCAACATGTGGAATGTGGCAACTTTCAGAATGGGGAAGCGCTTCTTAAGCACCCCCAAAGCCCTTTCCACATGGTTCCTCAGTAGTGTGTGGCGGTGGTTAAAGAGCTCCTTTGGGTTCTGCGGCCTTAGATGTCCATCCCCAAATTCTTTCAAATGGTATCGATTTGCATACCCTCCATCAACCAGATAGAATTTGCCTGGAGGTACTTGGAAGCCCTTGCTCATAGCTGATCGTAGCACTCTGGAATCTGTAGCCGATCCCTCCCATCCACTAGAAATGAAAGTGAAGTTGAGATCGAAATCACATGCCACCATCACATTAATGCTTAGTGTGCCCTTCCTATTTCTAAAAGGAGAAGCTTTCTCAGAGGCTATGGAAATAGGAATACGAGTTCCATCAATGGCACCTAGACAATTCTTGAAAAATGGATAGAATCTAGGATTGTCTTGGGGATAGAATCTAGGATTGTCTTGGATTTTCTGATGCACTTGATTAGGATCGGGAGCTTGAAGGTAACGGCGAGAGAGTGCAGGAATGACCACCTTGAAGAAGTGGTTGATGTGATGATGGAAGGTGTCATTGCTGTGCCCAAAGAACACTTGGAGATCCTCATACGAGGCGTTGTGACTTAACATGTATAGGAAGAAACCCAACTTCTCCTCCACAGTGATCCTAGTATCAACAACAAGCCTTTTCCCTCTAAGATAAGTTGCCAATTCTCTAAAGATGCGTGGTTCCATCCTAAAATGCAACTTGACAGTTCTTGACATGTCCCTCGAGGAGTCTACTAACTTTAACCTCGCCTGTTTCTTCCGAAGTATGACGTTTCTTCTCTCACCCCCCCACCCGCTCTAGTAGATCTCATAAGATATAAGGCGGGGAAAATAAATAGCATCATGTCATCATCTTCTTCCTCCTCTTTCTAATACGATCTCGCAGTGAGAGACGCATTGTAGAACTGAAGCATGTCATAAAGAAGCCAAATATTATTGATCATGTCATATAGAAGCTAAATATTATTGATCATGTCATATAGAAGCTAAATATCATTGACCATGTCATATAGAAGCTGTAATAAAGATTATAGTCATATAGAAGCATATATAAACTTATAGTCATATAGAAGCTTCTGGAGTTGGTACTGGATCCCAAGAAGGCGGAGGTTCACCTTCCCCAACTCTAAATGGTGCCGGAGAGATCTACAAGTAACAAGAAGCCATTTGGCAAATCAAGACATCATCTAGATAATAATATAGAATTATTTGGCAAATCAAGACATTGACACTTTACGAATTATTTACTGTCCGTTTTCAGTGTCACTTCACATGCACTGCAGGAACCATGAAAAATTGGAAAAGCATGCCTACTGCTCCAAAAAAATCTATAGGTCATCATATTGTGCCAGATTCCAGCACCAGTATCAAAGCATGGCCATGGTTTGGTAACATTCAATTCAAGTTGAGGACAAGGCATCCAATTCCAGTTACAAATTGCAACTAGCTGATAGAAGGAAAATACAAATATTAAGCAAGAGAAAATTAAAAATTTAGTACTCAGAACTTGCAGTGTGAATTTCTCCAGAAAGCATTCTGTGGCAAGAGGATTATGCTACACATGGTGCTATCGCTAGCTGATGAAATCCAGCGACTGTTGGCAGACAAGGATGTGGCACACATGAGGCGTCCTACACACTTGAACCTGTTCTGAAAGTGACGAGATGCTGCTATCCAGTACTGTACCCAAGCTACTAGGAGTAGTATTCAGTTTGGAGTATTAGTTTGGCAGTCATCAATTGATGGTTTACATCGTCCGTGCCTATAACTTTTACAAGTACAGTACTCCACTATCAATCTTATAGTATCATGTATGTATCCAAATTAAAACAGTATTGCCGCACAAATGGAAAAGAAAACATCCAGGCTGGTGCTCAAAGAATAATAATGTCAGCGTGGCCTCATAGGGATTCCTCTTTAATTTCATCTCCTGAGATCTACTAAGAACACACACAAAGCGGCAGCTAGCTAGTATGGACCACTAGCTGTTCGACGACTCCTTCGGGAGAAGCATCTCATCGCTGCAGGCGGACATCTTCAACACGAGCTCTACTCCTCACGTCCTGGCCTCCCCGTGTACCCCGAACGGCACCCAAATATCCCAAATACTCCGGATCCAAGAAGAGACGCGCAAGAACCAAATCAAGAACCCTAAAATACATGTCCGGACGAAGGGGAGAGCGAGGGGATCACCGGCGAGAAGGACGAGGAAGGGGAAGGACGTAGGGTCGCCGTCGCCCCGCGCCGCCCCGCCGTCGCCTCTGTTGCTCGAGTCGTCGCGTGCTCGCGTCGCTTCCAGGAGCCGGGCACCGAACCGGAGGTAGGAGGTCCGGTTCCGTTCGGGGCCGTGGAGACACGGAAAAGTGAAGCCAGTTTTTGGTCCTGGGTCAGTTTTGGTTTCAGGCCGGGCCGAAACGAACGCACATTTCCATTCTCATCCGGATTAGAAACGGGCCGCAACGATCCCCCGGAACGGCCCCGGAACGGGCCAATCCGGTAGCCTTAGGGAACAGGTTCTGTTCCTCCGGCGGGCTCCCCACTGCTCACACAAACCGGTGGCCAGAGAGCCGCGTGGATTGTCTGACTTGCTGTAGCAAGTACAAACGGTGCTGATATTTTCATATTTGAGACTGAATCCATTTAGAGCACTTTACCTCACCTGGATACCATCTAATTCTCATCAACGGTTGGAAAGCTCTTTACTTATTAGTGCTTAGCTGAGATGCAAATAATAGCCCATTTAAAGCCCAGTTCGCGGATGGAAAGAATAGTTGCAGATTTTTTTTTTCTGTGCAGCTTATCTTTTTTATATCAAAACTTTTACATATGAGATTGGATAAATATTTGAATCCATCTTGATAGCGAAATAAAGATAAAATTCATATGAAAATTAGAGTTCTTAGAATATCTACAACTTTGCGGTACATGACTTTTTCATTAAAAACCATTTTGTGTGAGAAAAACTTATACTTGTAGATCAATATATTATATCAATTATTTTGGTACTAAGATGGATTCAAATAAAAATATGAGTTAAATGTATCAGGGATCCATGAACTTGTCATGGTATACCGCTTGGGTTCATGAACTTTGAAAATACATTTATAGGTCACTAAATGGTGCATCATAGGTCCACACTGCTTTGTCAGCGTTTTCTTGCTTATGTGTCATTGCCAACATAGCATGTTTTTTCCATTTAACCCCTTACAGCCAGGAACCAAGCGCGTGTTGCCACCGTGGCCATGCCACAGCAACCGGCGACTAGCGCCGTCCATACGTGGTTGTCCGTCCTCGCACGTCGCACAACGACCTCAGCCGCGAAGTCGGGCCCGGCGAGTCGAGCTCTCGGCTTGCCGACACCGCGCACCCACTCAGGCTGCACCTGTCGAGCACGTCGTTCCCCGGCCTCATCCTGACATAGGTCCGCTGCAGCCGGTCGTGCCTCTTGCGCCGGTGGTCGCCCTCGTGCAGCCTCACGTCCCAGATCTCCTCCCTGAGCACCTCGCACTCCACCTCCGCCCTCTCGGCGGCGGCCGTGTCTAGGCTGTCGTACACCACGGCATAGTATCCCAGCGCCTCGCCGAAGCACTTTTGGAAGGAGACGCTGCCGTGGCTGGCCTCCTGCTCCATGAGCACCACGACCTCGGGCGATAGCGCGCGCCGCCGATAGGAAGCTCGCCAGCGCCGGCGGCTGTGGAGTCGACAATGGCGGTGAGACGAAGCCTAGCGGCGTGGCAGGGCTGTTGTCGTTGTCGTCGTCGCCGCTTGGCGGGCACGAGGTGGACGGCATCTACTACAGCCGCAAGACGCTCATCGTCCGGTTGAAGCGGTGGCTGGCGCTGAAGGTGCTCACGGGGTTGGCGGTGGCGGTGAGGTGGCAGTGCAGTTGTAGCATGCAGATGACCGTGTGTGCCTTGTCGGACCTCAGCCAAAGGACGCCGTGCTCCGTGCAGGTCATTGGGATCTAGTGCCTTGATCTGGTCAACGACGCGGTGCACTTGGAGTGGCACGTCGAGCTCCTCGGCCACGTGGGTCGCACGCCACCCTTGCGCTTGCGGGCCGCGTGCCGTCCCTATTCTTGCCGGCACGCCGCGCGCTCGCCCTTGCTGTCTAGGCTTGCTGGCTACGCGTAGGCCCTCCCCTGCCCTCGTAAAGCAGGAGGACGACGAGGCCCTATGCCTCTGCGCTCACATTCAAGAGTGGAGCCATAGACATGAGAGCGAATGAGAACAGGGAACTCACCTCAACGTGCCTGGATGCGGCACGGTATACGTATACGGTGGCCACCGTGGTAACTGTGCTCATCATCGTCGTTGCCTTAGATTGAAGATGATGCTTCGTGTAATCAGACTCCGCAGCAGGCGAACAAGTTGGTGATCTTGCAGCTCAGCCTCCGGCCAGAGAACCCAGCGGCCATGGCCGCAGCCACATGTACTTCCTCAATGTTGCCGCATTTTGGACAATGCGACACCGACGTCCACATCGAAGCCGGATGATTATTGCATCAACTTCGAGCCCCAGCTGGGCGACGAGGCCGTGCTACAGCAAATGGCCTACTTCAACATTTGATCTGCTGTACACAAGACACGACAGTGGTTGTGGCGGTTTCTGCCCATGGAGGCATGGCGGCAGCGCGAACAGGCATGGTGCGGGCGGTGGCTGGCGGGTGTGATGGGCTAACGGTAGCGGAGTGCGTTGCAGTGTGCTGTTATTTTCTATGTGCGATGGAGAGTTTGTTGTCCTCATGGCCATGCACGTGCCCACCATTGTCACTAAAGTTTGAGGCAAAGAGCAAGAGGGAAGGGATACATTAATAAGAGAAGGGAGAAAAGGAGGGTTTAAGTACAAAAATACATGCCATGTTGGTGTGACACGTCAACAAGAATTTCACATGTGGGTGGTGACGGACCAGGGTCCTAGGGGTTCCTCATGGGGGTACTACACAGATGGGCCCTGGGATGGGCCACGATCTGTTGAAGGATGCGAGACAAGGTGGCGTAGACTTCGAGCTATTCCAGATCAACTTAGTCGGATTACTATGAAAGCTAGATTCTGTAATAGGACTAGGACTCTTCTCTTGTAACCGACTAGGACTAGATACGTGCCCTTACCCTCTCCCCTATATAAAGAGAGGTACGATGCACCCCCTTGTAACCCTAACAATCATATAATCAACCCAACGTAAAAGGCTATACGCCGACTGCACGTAAAGGCTATTACTCGACAAGAGGGCCCGAACCAGTATAAATCATTCATATATTTGTGTTTACTGTCGAGTTCTATGTACGCCGAAGCCCTTTGAACATTGTCCTAGGTAACCCCGTGATGAGTTGCCGGTCATCAAACACCGACAGCTGACGCGCCAGGTAGGGGCTTCCGGCGACTTCGCGAATGAGAGCTCGGCGGACCTCAACGACATTATTTTCTCAGTGGGAACCACCTTCATCTTTAGCTCCTGGATCTGGCAAGGCAGACGACAACGCTAAGCTCCAAAGTCATCTCATGGAGATCTCGGCACCTCAAGCTTCACCAGATGCCTCAACGACCACGCTGGATCAACTCGCCGAGAAGTTGTCACACCTCTCAATTTTCGATTCAACTCGAACTCAGGAGGTCACCATCAACCATGACTCCTGCTTGGACACATTACCTTTGTCCAGGTTGGAGATCCCATCTGAAGTCCAACTTGAAGACCCAGTTTGTTTTTCACTCGAACT